CTTCACAATGTTGCCTTTTTAAAACAAAACAAAGTGTCATTCAATGGCATTCTTAGGTCTGATCATTTGATTGTAGGACAAAAAAACTTAAATCATCATAAGCAACCTAGGATGGCTAAGTTCGTATTCAAGACTAAAGGATATTCTCGAAAACTATTAAAATTAAAAGTTTAGGTATGCTCGTAGATATATACAGATAGTTTTCGCCAGGTATTATTGCAGAATAGGCTGATTATTTTCCCATTTACGCCTAATTGCCCTTTTTATTTACCACTATGAATGAGTATTCTATAAATTTGTACCGTTGATTACTTCCTCTGCAAATACAGGTTCCAATCGCAAACGCGGAACCATAGTAATTTGAGATATAAAGACCATGATATTGTGGCCACTGGTATCGTCGCAGTCTCTTTTCGGCTTATAGAAATAGGTTGACCTCGTTGTTGCAACTTGGTCTTGTTTTAGAGAGACTATGTAGAACGCAGCTAGTCCGAAGTCGTCTGAAATAGTAGTTGTCATTATTCCCAGCATCAGACAGTGGACTTGGTACATTCTCAAACCTTTCGCCAGTATCGTAGTCGGCATCAACTGTGAGTTGTGAAATTCACCGCACCAATCTACAAATTCGTCAAAGAGACAAGTGAAGTCAATCCCTCGATAAACGTTCTTCCGAAAACGGTTACATTATCACTCTTTTTTCTGTCCTGGCCTGTCTATCTACTTTTTACCCTCTTATCCCACCTCCGCCCTATCACAACTTCTCACTTTTTTACATTCCACTCGTCAAAATGTGTGCCCTTTTGTCGCAATTCTAGTGTGGCCCCATCAAACTTGCTATCTACCCTGATCCCTCTTTCTATCAGCTTATCCGACTCGGGCCTCCAATCCAGATCCCTTTATTGTCCCGTGGATTCGTTTCTTATCTTTCTGGTTGACCGATTTCACTCGGTTCCTGTCCCAGTGTGCATTCCACTCCAGGCGTTATTTCTTAAGGCCCTACAAGCACGTACACTGCCGTTTCACTAAGCAGAGCGCCTAAGCTCTGATTGTCATGCTTGCAGATATTGGGATAAGAGGGTAAAGAGTAGATAGACAGGCCAGGACAAAACGTTTGTTGAGGTTTTGACTTCAGTTGTCTCTTTGACGAGTTCGTATGTTGGTGCGGAGAATGGCAAGTCTCACTGATGATGCCGACTACGAGGCCGGCGAAACGTTTGACAATGCAGGCGGAGAATGGCAAGGCTCACTGATGATGCCGACTACGAGGCCGGCGAAACGTCTGAGAATGTATCAAGTGTACGGTCGGATGCGGGAAATCATGACAACTACTATTGCAGACGACTTCGGACTCGGTGCGTTCTACATAGTGTCCCTGAATACAAGACCAAATTGCGACAACGAGGTCAACCCACTTTAATAAATCGAAAGGAGACTGCGACCCTAACAGAGACCACAACATCTTGGTCTTCATATCTTCAATTCCTATCTTTAACCTGTAATTATGATGGGACCGGAAATTGAGTATTATCCCAGCATAGGACTTCTTTCTGGACAATTTTTGTTTAAGCGTCCCATTAGAACGAATCACTTCAACGTCCAGGAATGGTAACCGCTCACCTTCTTCTACTTTGAAAAAGTAATATGGAAAGATTGACTCACAATTGTCTTCTTTATCCGGCTGTATTCAGTGCATTGTTTGGCAATTTTACTAGCGTAGTTCAATTGAAAATATGAAGAACAAGATGTTGTGGCCTCTGGTATGGTCCCAGTCTCCTTTCGATTTATATAAGTGGGTTGACCCCGTCGCAACTTGGTCTTGTTATCAGGGCGACTTAGTAGAACGCACCTAGTCCGAAGTCGTCTGCCATAGTAGTTGTCATGATCCCCAGCATCAGACAGTGGACCTGGTACATTCTCAAACATTTCGCCGGTATCGTAGTCGGCATCATCAGTGAGTTCTGCCATTCGCCGCACCAAGCTACGAAGTCGTCAAAGAGACAAGTGAAGTCAATCCCTGCACAAAAGTTCCGCAGAAATTGGTTACACTATCCTGTCCTGGCCTATCCATCTACTCTTTACTCTCTTATCCCACTGCAGCCCTATCACGACTTCTCAATTGTTTACATTCCACTCGTCAAATTGTGTGCTCTTTTGTGGCAAATCTAGTGTGGCCTCATCACACTTGCTATTAACCTCGACCCCACTCTTTAGATCGGCTTTTCCGAATCGGGTCTCCAATCCGGAATCCCTCATTATATCCTAGATCATGGTTGACCGATTTCACTCGGTTCAAGGCTCTGCACATTTCAATCAAGGCGCTAGAAGCACTTACACTGACGCTCCACTGAGCAGAGCGCCTAAGCTATGATTGCCATGCTTGCAGCTATTAGGCCTTCCCTTCACAGGTCTGTGACCTTAAGAGACCCTACCACTCGGATAAGGTTAATGAATATCTGCACTAGGCTTCTATTCAGAAACTAAGTGAGACTTCTGATACTGAACGTTATAAATTGTTTAAGTTTATAGATATTAAGTCAAAGCTCCGGTGTGATTCTTAGACAGCCTAAGTTACAGTCAGTACGCCCAGTAGAAGTGGCTTCCGAGGTGACAACACTTACTGATCAGCACGGCGATAGATGGAAAGTATTAAACTTATCATTAATTCCTCTCAATCCCAAAAAAACCGCGTTCCTAGAAAAATGACTCAATTATTTAATCCAAAATAACAGGAGCCTTCTAGGAGACATCCTGGTCGAGGTTATCGACATTACCGACAAGTTCCCTGAGGATACAAAACGGGAAATGGAGATGGAACTAATTCCAAAGATCTGAAAACATCATTAGCCTATACACAGGAACAGATTTGCCGTGATGCGTAAAAGCCTGAAAAATAATGAACAATTAGTCATTAAGGCGGACAAAGGAGGAGCTACAGTGATGATGGACAAAAAACAATATACAGAGAAGATGGAAGATATCCTACGAGACAGGACCAAATACCGCATACTGAACAATGATCC